CCGCTCCAACGAGTTAAGGCTGCCCACTCCCCTCCACCATCCCTCTCTGAAGCTGAACCACTGCCCCATCTCTCTCTCTCTCTCTCTCTCATCAGTCACACGCACTCGGACCTCCTTTATTATTTAAATGAGACGAGGTCGTGCCGCTCAGCCGACGATTACGGGAGACTGAGAATAGTGGGTCCCTTCCACTTCTTTCTCCTTTGCTCTTTTAGGGCTGCTGGGCTGTTGCTTTTACGCAGAACAATCTCTTTTAAGTCTCCAAGGTTTCACAGACCCACAGCTCTTCCTTTCCTCTCTCATGGCTTCTCGCGAGGGACACTATAGGGGGGTGAGGAAGAGGCCATGGGGAAGATACGCTGCCGAGATAAGGGATCCATGGAAGAAAACCCGGGTCTGGTTGGGTACTTTTGATACCCCCGAAGAAGCAGCTCTTGCTTACGACGGTGCTGCTAGGTCTCTCAGGGGGGCTAAAGCCAAGACCAACTTTCCCCCACGGTCAACTGGTTTGTCCTTTGACCTCAACGTACCTTCCGACCGCTGGGGATGTCCTCCCGGCGGTTTTGTTCTCGGTGAGCTTTTGCAGACGCGCGTTCTTAAGGAAGCCAGCTCCGATGAGGGTGCTTCTTCGGTTAAAGACGTCCACGTTGCGACTGAAGCTCTGCCACCAGAACCTGCTTCAACCGCGCCGTCGTTTTTTGGGCTTGTTAAACGGGGCCTATCGATCGACTTAAACGAGCCTCCGCCCTCTACGACCATGTCTCCTTTGTGTTTGAGATGAGGAAAAAAAGAGATCCTTTTTTTGCGTTCATTGCTTGTTGTTACTTTTCTTTGTTCTGTTTTCCCTTCGGTTTTTGTAGGAAATGATCAAATATGTTACCTCATCGATAACCAGAGAACCAGATTGTAAATATATTGCACTTCTTTACATGAAACAAAACAAGTTGGTTTTATTATTCTATGTTCTTTCAATCTTATTCCTTCTGTTGGATAGGCCGGCATTATCTTACCGTCCGATGTGTTTTATGTTTTCAGGTCGTCAAGTTCCGACGGCATATCCAGAGAAAATAGGCGTATCTCTTTCTCTCTCTAGCGTATATTAATGGGTTTCACAGACTTATTCCAGATTAGATAACGCTTGAAACGAATTTTAATAACGACAAGAAAAGACCCGTTTACTATCTTTTATTTCTCGAGACCAACAAGAATCAAATTCCCGGCCGGGGCGTGAAGAGCGAGGACTGGCATTGGCTAGTGTCAGTCCCCACGTATTTGTTTTTCTAATTCGAACAAAACTTGTTTCTTTTCTCGGAACCTGGACTTCTGCATTTGATCCTCTCTCCGATTTATCTCACGAAAATTTCGTCGGAAAAATAATAGAAAAATCATAAAAAAAAAATATGTATATAAAAGGGAAGGAGGCGAGAAGGCACGCACAAGTCCCCGCTTCAAATAATAAAAGCGCAAGTAGTAACAGACAGTATGGCCGGCTTTCATTACAAGAACAAAAAACAGCGACGGGTTGACGCGCGTGTGGTCCCCGTCCCCTTCCATTCCCACGCGCTTCCTTTTCTCTCTCAGTGTTGACGTCTGCTTACGCTGGCCCCCTTTCATTTCATCCACGTGGTTCCACGCGCCGTAGCTGTCGCAATCAAACGGGCCCCACTGCTGTCGGCAACGGAGGCATCACGGCGCTCTTCGTTTTCACTCCTTCCGTCGTTCTGTCGGTGACGGTGGCTTCTCCCCGACTGTTCCGTTGACGGTCGTCCATCTAGGGAGCAAAGCAACAAACAAATGCCAACTTCCACGCATGCATTGCATGTATATCCCATGCCATGCCATCATCATCATGATGGATGGATGGATGGATGATGGATGGGTGGATGGTAAAACACTAAAACCCCGCCTGCTCCACTCATTATGATACATTCATACTTGTCACTTTCTGCTTTACGTATTAAATGAAAAAGGGAGACAATATTCAAACATAAATTAAAAAGAAAAAAAACTGAGATACACACGAACGCTTCTAGTTAATACCGTACACCTGACTCAAATTGTCCCGTCAATCCAGGCCGTGCGTTGCATCGTCTCAGAAAGAAAACTGAGATGGACGGACGATCATGGGAAGAGTAGGAGGGAAGTGAGAGAAGGGAAGGTGCAGGCAGGAGGCGGTGAGGTTGATGGTACACTTGGGGCGCACGTTACGTGAAAGCAGCAACGTCAATCCGGCTTTTTGCTTTGAAATTCAATACGGTTTCAGAAAAGAGACTGTCGGCCTATCACAGGGTCTACACGTGTAAGGTAGCAGGTACTGGTGCTTATGATGCAGCGGACAGATTTTAGTGGTACACGTGTACGGTGAAGGCAGCTAAGTCAGTAAGGTGACGACAGAGTGCATGGAAGTACCCTTGTTTTTTTCTTCACCGAGGGCGCGTAATAAAATAATGAGAGGAATTGTTGGTTGAGTGTTTGCGCATCGCAACATCAGATGGAAGATCTAGGTGGGGGCCACCGTAGCAAATTTAGGGAAGGCAGCACCCTAGTTGCTTTAATTAAAAAATAAATAAATATGTTGATGGAAAAAGCACGCAATCGAATTTTATTAGTTATTAGTAATTTATGGGTTAATGGTGACTGAAACTTGCCACGTGGCAGAGGGAGGGGGAGCATATCTGGAGTTGGTGAGTGAGACGTTGGTGAGGATCGTATTCGTATCCGACTTTTGCATCTTTTGCCTTTTGTGCGTGGGTCGCTTTAAATGGAGAACAGTGAACATAAGGTAAACAAGGGTGACACGTCGCGTTACAAATAACAAATGTACTGACCACGTTTCCGAAATCTGGTACTTTTGTTCTAGTTTCTGTTCCTGCCGAATGGTTTGGTTAATCTTTTCGTTCAATTAGTCAACAGAATTTCCTGCCTAATATGGGTGAAATCACTCACAAACAAAACAAAACAGATGAAGATTGGGAAAAAAATTCTGAAGTCTGTACTTCTTGTTAGTGCATCTCCCACTAAAACCAGAACTCCCTACGTGAGGCCCACCTTACTTTACCTTTGCCCAGTTTGGTAATTGGTATTCCAAAGTTCCTTCTGATGATTTGTTAAGTGGTGTCTTGTGACCCGACCCGTTGCCCCAAACCAGTTTTCAGAGAGGGGGGGGCTATTAATCAATATCAACCAATAAAGCCTGTCACAATTGTGTAATGTTGAGTGATGATGTGGCCAATTGCACTAAGTAATGGATCTTCTAGATAACTCGCCAGTGGCCCACGTTTTATCAGAGTGTGTTCTATAATGGGGGGCCCATGGATATGCTCAACTACCTCAGCAGGCCTTTATAAATGTCAACACAGGTTGTGGGCTGAGTAGGGCAGGGCAAGTGGATTCAAGCTTTGATGAGTTATGGGTGATGGGTTTGGTTAGACTTGGCACTCGGAGTAAACTTCCCCATAATGTCAATTGGTTTGACTATTTTCACCCCAAGAAAATTGAGGCACCACCAACCATCAGAGAGAGAAACGATGAGAAACAGGAGGAGAGGGGTAAAAAGGGAGCAAGCACTCAACTTCCCAACTAAATTTGAGGAGAAATCCATGAGAGAGAGAGAGACCACTGTAAAGATACAGAGAGTTGAACAGAAAAAGCAATTAAGCAACTCTGTGTCTCAGTGTGGTACAGCAGATCAGACATCAATTGTGTTGGCAGTTAGCCCATTTTCCGAGTGGTGAACAAAAGGGACGTCTCACCAGACACCCAGCTTCAGTGTAAACTGAACAAGTAAGGCCATACTGGCATTTGATCGATGACTGAATGTCCTACTGCTACTGCTCTGTCTCACACTACTGATGAAAAGTTCATGCGCACTATCTATCTATCTATCTAAAATGGGGAAGAGGAACACGACAGATCAATTCATGACTCATGAAGCTTTCTTGCTTTCTTCCTTCCTTTCTTTCTTTCATGGGCGTAATAAAAGCAAGAAGCAACATGCGTCGTATAAGACATGGGACTACCCACAAGGCCACAACTTTTGAGGGGGATCCTCTGGAGTCTGGACGATTGACTACTACTGTAGCTGCTGTTTCTCATCCATTCATTGATGTGAAGCAATTGCATTGAGATTTGAATTTTCAATTTTCAGAGAGGGTGCCTAAATTACTAAAACAACCTGGATGGGCTGCCGACACAGTCACAACTCACACAGACACACCCCTTTTCTTGTTCAAGTCTTCTCTCCATCTTATTTCTCTGGTCAAGGGTTGAGACTTGAGAATGAAATGATCCAAGCTCAATCCCTTCCTCTTCATCTTCAACTCTGACCAACCCAGAGAAGCAAATTGCTAGCTTTTGGGAGTCATGTCTCTCAACTCTGACCCAACAAGTGCACAAGGAACAACAACATAACCAACTCAACATCTATCTGTAGACCCCAATTAATTCAATTGCTTCATTGGGTGTCGGTATCACATGACATACTGCGCTTATCTCCCTCTTCTGGCCCCGTTTCTGAAACTGGATATGGAATAGCAATTTTCCAGGCAGGGCAACCACCCAGAAAGATAAGATTACAAAGCCTACATAGAAATTGTAGGACCAAAGGAAAATCCAAACGAGAAGCTCTAAATAAAATAAATAGAAATTGTAGAACCTGTTGAGGATGTTTTTTCGATCAGTAGGGGACCTTTCCTCGCTCTAGCCTCTCCCTTGGTGGACACATTTTGCATTTTCCACCAAATGCTGTTCTCTTTTACCTCTTAACTCTTTTGCTCTTTTGCTGTTTAAGCCCAAATAACAAGGGCCTACGTATCGTCAAGCCAAGCCTCCAATTAGTTGACATAAAGTAAGTACCCATTTGAAGCCAAAAGAAAAACAAGGTAGGTGCCCATTGATTTATCAGTCAAGAGTAAAACAGGGAATTCGGATATCAGGTAAAGACATGGAATTAATTTACAGTTTCTTCAATAGCAATATTCATCGATTAAAGAAACTGATATTGCGCGATCTGTTGCTCCCTCTGTCAGGTGACCAGGACTCTGATTTGAAAGGTTTTTTGTCAGGTGCCTGACTTGTCTTTACGCAAGGAGGGCATTCTAATATTTAAGTCAGATGGTGTTTAAAGAATTTTTGAGAGAACGAGAGAGCTTGAGAGTGTATTATTGTATGTACCTTTTAAGTAGACTTTATATAGGTTGGTCGGAGCGCATGTCAACGGGTTTCACCTTCTTGGGGAGCCATTTCCACTTAGTCAGATGCATTAATATGTTAGTTGTAAGATCTGTGTAAAAGTTGTGAATTGCCCGAATAACTCCGAGGCGTGTGATGCGTTAGGCCGATCTAATGGTCGAGGTATTAACGTTTTAGAGATTTCGGGCTGGTAATGCGCTATCGATCTAAATTAGCGGGCTCTCTTTGCAGGTTGTTGTGGATTCCTATAGCTCAACCAATCTCTGAGACAAGTCGTCGTGAACTAGGGGACTGTTAGTTCGGTCCAGACGAGGTGGAGGTCGGCCTAGGTGAGGTGCTCTAGGCTAACTTGCAGAGCTAGCTTGCTTACTTAGTGCTGATGTTACGGGCCCGAGCGTAGGATCGTGTCACGGGTCGTTCCGCCGTCAGAGCCTCGGACCTTTCCTTGCCCTTGGCCTTGCGTACAGGCCCTATTTTGACTATCGTAGGGGGGGGGTGATTTGTCCAAGAGATCACCGAACTCTCCTTACTTCCTTTCTTGACTGCAAAATTCGATACTTCATTCAATAATAGCGTCTCCTTAAATAGGAGATTACAAGAGGAGGTTTCCTTGTTGGATTCGGCTAGACTAGTCCTAACRGACTCAAACTCCTACTCCTAATTAAACTACTTACTTTTAATGGTACTAMAAATCCTTCTAAGAAAAGGGGATAAGATAAGGACGAATGGGATAAGGGATGAGGGAAACATCCGTTCTCTTGACGTGTTCGG